GTGAGGTGGTGCAGGCTCCCACCCTGGGGTTTTTTAAGAGGAGGTTGGATGACCACTTTACTGGGGTCATTTGACCCCAGTGCTCTTCCTGCCATGGCAGGGGGTCAGACTAGATGATCTGCTCAGGTCTCTTCCGACCCAACCAACTATGGAACTATGAAACTATGAAATAAGGAGAGACACCAAGGTACACATACATGCACACACAAGGAGACAGACACACAGAGATGCATACACACACTGAGGAAGATTCATACGCACACAAACGATGGGTTGGAAATGAGGGGCACCAGCAGAGAGACACACACACTGTGAGCATTACACACACACAAGGAGACAATGAGACACACGTACACATTTGGACATAGTGTGAGAAGCGTTCAGGAACCCAGGATGGGGTTGTAAAGCCCCTAGCACCTTGCCTTCCCCTCCCACCCCACAGCCAGGGAGTCGTGGGGGCTCACACTCCCCAGAAGCAACAGATGGGGAAGAGTTGGGGAGGGGACACAAAAACCTGCTACTCTTCCCAGTCTCACCTATCCCAGCTGGGGGGAAAGGCTCTCATCACTGGACCTGACACCCACATCTCCCAGCTGAGGGAGCCCTGGTCCTAGGGCAGGGGCTGGCTGCATACAGCCTGGCACAGCCTCCTCCTTAGGGACCCGAGGGGCAGGTTTACACCCCCTCAAGTCATGACAGGAGCACATGAGGCAGGTGCCAGACCCCCAGCCCAGCTGGTGCCCCTCATTCCCAACCCACGGCCCTCTGCCCCCCTCCCCCACATAGCCCAGCCCTGCGGGTGCCCCTCACTCCTGACCCACACTGCTAGGTTTCCTAGCAGGCGGAGGTCCATGCCAGGCCCTGGGCGCATAGCTGGGCCCCAGGCGCCTGGAGGACGGAGCAGGGGAAGTTGTTATCTGCACAGATTCCAGGATGTCGTGGATGGGTTAAATATAGGAATAAGAGGGAGAGAAGAAGGGGGGGTGTCTGCGATGGAAGAATGGTAGAGACAGACAAAAGGACGCACACACAGAAACAGACCGACATACCCCCGGACAGACCGTAGCAGTCACAGGGAGGCATGCAGCGATAGACATACACATAGACCAAGGGCTAGACAGACATAGAGACAGGCGCACATGGACATGGACACACACGCAGCAGGAGGTACACTAACAGCTACACAGGCACACACAGGAGGCAATGTGAGACAGATGACTCATGACTCATGACTCATGAGGAGACACCGAGACCCACAGAGATGCTGAGAGACACACACAGATACACACATGGAGACACCAAGAGACATACACAGGGGAGTAAAACACTGGAACAGAGACAGTAAGACACTGAGAGACACACACAGAGACACTGAGACACAGACATGGAGACAGCGAGACACACAGATGCTGAGATACACACACAAAGACACTGAAAGACACTCACACACACACTTGGGCTCACTGTGAGACAGAGTCACACACACACATGCACACACAAGGAAACAGT